GGGAAAGAGGGGGGGAGACACAAAGTGTAGAGATTTTGTCAGATATTCATAGAAGTGTAGGAAAAAGGTTCTGCTTAGCTAGCAGTGCCCTCCTGAGACAGGGTGGCAGTAAGCGAGGAAAATAACAAGATAAATGAAATTTTTGCAGCTGCTAGTAAAATATTGAGAATCTGCACTTTTTTATTGATCTTTATGATCCTGTTGCCAAGAGCCACTTTGCGGTGACAAAATATGTTGACAAGTGCGTATCTCACTGCCATGAAAAATGTGGTAAAGGATTCTCCTTATGTCTGCAGTGTTATACAAGGAACAAATTGCATCGCTACAGCCAATTCTTTATAGAAAGTCTAAATTTAAGCTCTACCAACCCTAAACACTTTTATCTTGAACTTCAGGCTAACGTTTGTAGCAATTCTTCACTCAGGAAACCAGTTGAGTCCTAACATTCTTTTTTCTTCTTTTTTTTCTTTTTTTTTTTTTTTTTTTTCTTTTTGGTCTCTAGATGGGTTTTTTTGCCTTACACAAGCTGTTATAAAAAATGGTCATTTCTTGGTACTTTGACTGTATCATTTTGGTATGTAATCCTTCAGATAGAGAGGAGTGTTCTTGTATATATTGAATTTCTATTCATCTCATTGGAGTGTGTTTTACTGTTCCACTTTTTCCTAAAGGAAAAGCCACCAGAAAGGGATAACAATTTTATTTTATCTTGTGCCAGATTCTTATCTTGTAGGTTTTGCCCCCGTGTAAATCTGTTAACTGCAGAAGTACCACTCTGAACCTATTTTACATCAACACAAGATCAGGATAAGACTCTTGATTTTATGCTAGAGGCTCTGGGAATTTTCCTTTTCCCCCCACCTCAACTCCCCTTTCAGTGATCTGGGAATATCCACAGTCTTTTCCCACAGAGTGGTGTGATAATATGTCACATTTAGGTGACACAAATTTATACTAATGGAAGGATCATTACTATTACCCTCATGTTGCGCACAGTGAAAGAATTTATGGCTGTATGTCTAGATGAACCCATTTTTTATTTTTTTATTTCCTTAAGCCAAAATTTTACTTTATTCAACAATCCAAGATCTCTCTTTCTGGTGCTATATGGTTGTAACGAAAGACAACCTCATGGTCCTTCAAAACTCCTGCTAAAAGGGCTTGTTCAAGTGAAATAACTTTTGTCTGTTTACCTCTAAAATACATTAACTTAGTTACTATTAGAAATGCAAAGTGTTTAAATGGCTGAACTTACTGAACTGTGAGTACAGCTCTGATGCTTGTACTGTCTAGCATTTCTAAAATAATTTTAAAAGGGATATTGTCTTTATTTCATGAAGTCTTCCTGCTTGAAAAATCTTAGTGTTTAAAATATGCCAGACGCAAAGTGCTTTTAAGCTCTTTGCTGCTCTGTGCCATGGGAGCAAAGTCCTTCCCTAATGACAAATTTTACTTTAAAACGATCAGTAAGTTATTAATTTAGTTATCTGCAATGCTCCCAAAACAATAAATTTCTACTGCAAGACTGTGTATGATAAGAAAATAATCGTCCATTCCTGAATTAGCTTGTTGTTTTTGTCTTTTTTTCTTTTATCTTGCTTAGGTCAAATATATTCTACCGCGCTTGTATAGATATCCCCAGGGGGACAGAACTGTTGGTGTGGTACAATGACAGCTACACATCTTTCTTTGGAATACCTCTCCAGTGCATTGCACAAGATGAAAATTGTAAGTTCTTTCTTGCATTGCTACCTGTGTAAGCCAGAAATCATATCTAATCCGCTATATTTCTAGAGTCTTTCAAGACATATTTAATTAAGGTTGTTTTATATTTAAGGTAAACTTGATATATACAAAATAAAGCCTGATGATACACTTAAGTGATGCAGATCATGGTATGGTTACCTGAATAAATGGAGGTGTCTGGAACAGTGCAGATATGTGCATTAAAAAGGCAGATTGCCCACCATGGCAGCTCCACATAGCTTGGTTGTGTATAGAATCACTCTTCCTTAAGTTATTCATTCCTAGTCTACACGTAACCAATATGCTTGGCTTTCTCCATTGCTATTAGACTGATCACAAGACATGGTCTTGTCTAAGCAGTAACGCATTGCAGGGCCATGAGGCTTCTCTTAATGATTCGTCATTCTATTACCACTGAGTATGTTGAGAAAAGCTTTGTCCAACTGATTTTAGAGATGAGATCCTTATGGTTAGAAGGCGAAAGCCAGCTTCTCTAAATAAAAAGTTGACTGAAATGACAATGAACCTCCATTTCATCCTGGCCATTCTCATTTCCATCCATTCTTCTACCTCTTAATATTTTATTTTCTGTTCACTAGGAATTATCACAAAATTAAGCAAGTAGCCTACAATACAGACCCAGTCCAATGTAATGATGGAAACCTTTATCTGTAATGTGCATGGGTGACCCAAACGTGCCTTCGAGTTTCACTGTTTGTGTCCGAAACTTGTTAAAAGACCTCTCTTCCAGTTTGATATGTAGTAGCTATGAGAGTGAGTGTATGTATGTATGAGCTATGTGAGTGTAGCTATATGGCGAAAGGAACTAATAATTGATGCCTGATTGACTTTGGACTAAAGTAATCCTGTGGCTGCCCATGGTTAATCAATTACATGTAAGATGTGCTTTTTTGGTGAAGTACTTGGATACTTAAACAGCAATGCTAAGATGAACTCGTGTCTCACAGCAACTTAAATACTGAGCCATGCAGCAATAAAACAGCAGGGGAGCAGAAATTAAACTGTTGAAAATAAACACCCTTTTTCATCTTGAGTTTTCAAATCTGTTGGCCTTGAGAAAAGTTTAAAAGAAATTTAATTACTGTCAGTAATGTTTGCTGATAATAGTCATGCTCTGCAGTGTACAATACAGAAATATTATTTTTTCTTTCATGAGCTGAAGCTTACAAAACCTTTTTTTAAAAAGAAAAGCATTATGGCTAAAATCTCTAAATATTGTCACTTGCTATTTTGCTGTGAGAGAAACCAGAGTTTCATCTACCAAGAGATTTATTTGAGTAGGTGAAATTCATCTCCAAGTATGGAGCCAGCTGCCTGTCAGTATATGACTTAAATGCCAGTTGCACCCTCAAAGTGAAGCTTCTGCTTACCTTCTGCACAGGGATATTTTCACTCAGTACAAACTTTGCAAACTTTAATATCCTAATCTTACTGGTTTTGTGGACTTTTCTGAATACAATTTAAAACCAAAAAACAGCAGCTGAAAATCGAATGCAAAATGAACCAACTAACCAGCCAAACAAAAAAGTGATCTGCTGCTTTTGTGAAAATGTTGAGGCAAAATGAAAGTTTACAAAACACACCTGGTGCAGAGACATAAAAAATGTATTCTATGTATGGAAACTTCTGACAGCCCCATGTATGTAACTCTACTTAGAAATAAGGTGCTCAGATACCACAGAAAAGAATATCCCAGAAAGGATCTCAAAATAACTAAATCAAATAGCAAAGAATATTATAATATTGGAATAATTATGATTGATGGAAGGTGGTAGAACATAAATTTGTGAAGTAACTGGCTTGATTTAAAATATAAACAAAACATTTATTTGTATAATACATGTTTACTGTATATTAAAAAAAATGATTATTTCAGCTCACAACTGAAATCTAATGCTCATATTTGCTCTTAGAAACTTATAATCATGGCTTATCTAAACAGAGTTTCAGTTTCTAGTCACCAGTTTAGTAGATGTCATGTACTTATGTGTGTATGTATATACTATTATCAATATCTGTATCTATATCTATATCTATATATATTATAAACATGTTGTGACAGTAGCTAAATCTGTAAACGTATGTATACTTAGGCATATGCATACAATGTATTTAATTTAAAAATCTCCTTTAAAAAGTTATGAGGCTGAGCATGCCAAAATTAGAAAGCATGAGAAGGTTCTGTACCCAGGTGGCCTGAACTACGATTCTTTTTGTATTGTGGTACAATAACTTGTTAACATTTTTCCAGAGGACTCCTGCTTCATTCACTGCATGATCTAGATGGTATATAGAGAGTGAAGCAGCAGTTCAACTTCGTTCTGAATATTTGACCTCTTGCCTTCCTTATGATGAGACATGCAAACTCAGCACTAAATCACTTCTTTGTGAAAACAGCATACTGCATTTGTTGCTGAAATATCTGAGTGCCTTATAGGCCCTAGTTAACTGATGATCACAAGACCTTCATTTGACTAGAAAAAATTTTTTCTTCGTCTTTTGTAGATGGGAAATTGATGCATAAAGATACCTTTGTCTATACTTTGCATTGTCTCGTGGTGATCTAACTGCTATTACCCTTAATCGTATAAGTCATGGTGAAGTGACTGGCTTTGCACTGTATTGGCTGTGTGACTATTTGTGAGATGTAATAGAATCATATCCTTAGTGGCTGCCGTTTAAGGGGATAAGGGAACTACTGCTGCAGTAGATATTTAAGCTCTGTTGTGTCTCAAGGAGTGTTCAGGCAAGAGTTTTTTCCCCTGTGCTGTCAAAATTTATGATTGTCTGTGAAATTGGACATGCTGACTACAACACGCAGAGTCAGGATATCAGAAGTATAGCAGCGTTTTCTTTCACATGATAATCCCTTTGTGCAATACATGTATCTCAGTCAGGCTTCTTTGAGTCCTCTCAGTCTCAGACAAGCCTGTGCATGAGTTTTCATTCCAGTGTCATAGAATCAGTGTCTTTCATTCAGATCGCTGTTTCATTCAGGCTTGTTTTTGGTTTTTTTGTGCATTGTTAAAATAAAGTTGTTCAATTCTAGTATCCAAAAAATGGATGGATGTTGGTTTGTTTTTTTTTTAGTGTGTCCCAACACTGTGTTAGTTTTAAAAAGGCATTAAAAGGATCTTACTTTTCTTGTTTTCTCCCAGTGAATGTCCCTTCGACTGTAATGGAGGCTATGTCCAGACAAGACACCCTACAGCCATTTAATAAAAGTAGCAAACTATCCCCTGGCACTCCACAGCGATCCATAGTATTTCCACAGACTCCGTGTAGCAGAAATTTTTCTCTTCTGGATAAGTCTGGGTCCATCGAGTCAGGATTTAACCAGATCAGTGTCAAAAACCAACGAGTTCTTGCAAGCCCAACTTCAACAAGCCAACTAAATTCTGAGTTCAGTGACTGGCATCTTTGGAAATGTGGGCAATGCTTTAAGACTTTCACCCAGCGGATCCTCTTACAGATGCATGTGTGTACGCAGAACCCTGACAGGTAAAGCCCAGACTCTCTTTATTTCTCTATATACTGATAGCCAGATCCACTGCTTTCCTCTTTTATCAAGCTGTTATCATTTTCAAAACCAAACAATTATTAAGAAGAGCCAGTATGACATAATTCATCTGCAGCTGTGTGAAGTAAGCCGATAAAAACCACTGCTTGACTTCACTATTTGTAAAAACATTTGGTGCCTAAATGTGCAGATAAAAGGAAATAGCTAAGGATATAATCTTGTTTTAAGAAAGGTTTGGTACATCTGATGGAGGCAACAAAATAGAAGGAAAATTTATGAATATCATAGATAGAAAAATGAGGTCAAGATAATTAAAAGCCTCTCAGTCTTCCAAAGATAATCTAACTTGCTGCTCAGTGGCTGTCACAGTCATTTCAGGGTTCACCTATAGTGTGCAATGTGTATGAACTTAATTAAGTAGTAAGAGGTAATGAATTGGAATTTTTTGCTTAGTACTATTTTTCTTCAGAGCGTGCAAACCCATAAATCGTGCAAAGCTGTCAAAAGGAAATACCTACTCCACTAGTGATGTGGAGGAAAACAGATGCCACTTATTCAATAAACTAATATCCACACAGAAGAAAAATGTTGACTAGATACCTCAGAGTCAAAGTTGGTTTGAAAGTTTGTCAATATAGAATTTTATGGCCGTGAACTGAGGATGAAATTTAGCTGAACAAGTGAATTAAAATTTCAGGTACTCTGACCGGTGGCACAGTAAATATAATGGAACCATTATTTATGAATCAAAGCTGGTTTATTTGACAATTTTGATAGCTGGCAGGACAAAAGACAAAAATCAGATTAATTCAATAAAAAAGGCTGCCCATGTTTTGTCTCTTCTTCAGCTATGAAGAAGGTTTGAGCAGAGCAGCTGAATTCCTGGAAGATTATTCTAAAAGCAGCATTTAATTGTGAATTACATTTAATGAGAACACTACCAAAAGTAGTAACCAGTGAGTCTGTGTGTGGTTTTTATGCATGTCTGTCTCTTTGTGTACATGGCTATCTATGTGTACATATACTTATGTGATTCTGTGGGTATGGAGACACTGGAGCATAAATCCAGTTCTCCGGGAAGAAACATCAAGCATGCTAGGGGCAAACTAAATTCTGTACAAATCTTCATATGATGTAAAAAGCTGCTAATACGGTGAATGCAAACAATCCCTTTCAACATTTTCTGAATTTTATGCTGCCCTTGGCATAAATTCCACTCTAAGGGAGCTGTGGGCCGCAACCACCAATTCAAGTGCCACAATGTAGAATAGAGTTCCTGGAAGTTTTCCTCTCCTAAGCTTCAAGGACTTTTCTTTTTTCGGTATTAAAACATCCCAAGTGTGCTGTAAAATATAAAATGCTGTGTCAGGGAGTCTGGAGAAAGTATGCTGTGAGGCTTCCCTACATACTTCTTCAGTGATTCATCTACCCAGGCATGATGCTTCGATTCATCCTTTCCTTCACTTGAACCTGTGTCTCCCTATATGAAGAATCAAGCTGTAGATAATAACTAATATAAGTAAAGTATCCCCTGCTCTGCACTCTAAGGGATAGTTAAATGTTAATTTTTCTTCCAGATAGAAAAAATGAGAATTAGTCTGTCTTACAACTAGGTCTGTCATGTAGCAGGTGAGAGATTTTATCTTTTAAAAAAGTTATTTGTTCCTAAGTATTTTTTTGTCAAATATTGGCTGGAACATGGCTGGATTTTAAGGCTTTCCTGTTAGAAGTGAACGCTCTCATTAGTAAGTTACTGATTTGTGAAGTCTCACTGCCTCATCTCTCCTGTGCCTACTTAGTTTGTCCATACAGAACAGCTTCAACAAGAAAGTGTAGAGCATTTTTACCTGGAATACCCTGCAGCACAGTAAGAAAATAATCTAAATCAGAAGACAAGCTGTCTTCCCCAGGGCTAAAGAAAGCAAAGGGTGATTAGAGAAAATCCTTGGCAGATTTGGGAAGGGTTGGAGTGGATAGGAGATAAGTAAAGGCTCTTGGTTGTAGGTGTTGAATCCCAGAAGCTTTCAGGAAGATTAAAAATGTAAGAGTTAACACCTGTTTCTCAATATTGATACTAGCTAATTTAAACTGATATCATCTTTGATTTGTTTGGTCTTATGAATCCTGTTCTTAAGAAAGTTCTTCTCTTGTGTTATAAAGAGCGTAAGACCAAAATGAGGTTGCAATATACACTTGGAATCAATCTGTTGCATAAACACTAGATCCTGCAGTGCTCTGTTCTGTGACACTTGCTTTCACCTCTGTACTGAAAAATGGTTTACATTTCTATGTTTTCACTGAATAAATTCTGCAGACTCCTTGTGGAGGCCAGTTTTCTAATGCCTTCTTCGCTCCCACGAGGTGTGCCACCAACATAACTGCTGTAAAAGTATTTCCCAACAGGTTTTCTTCACAGCCTTGTGTGGGATGTCAGTCACATGAATTTCTTTAAGCTGATTGCAATTCATTCGCTGTTTGCAACTACCATGGTAATGGTTACTGCCGATCATTACTGCCCTAGGACCTCATATCCCTGTTTAGAAATCATTACGAGCAGATCTTACATTGCAGGCAACTTTTGTCTTTTAGCAGGTGCCAGTAGATCAGCTCTTAAGCAATACAGTGGCTGGAAAAGAGCTGTCCTTGGTTTCTTAAACATATTGCATTTCTCCAGATGAAAAATTCCTGAAGTGTTGTACAAAATTGTCTGCAGACAAGCAAATAAGGTACATTTTCTGAAAGAATACCCGCTTGCCAACCTGAAGTACTGGATGCAACTCTCTGATTTGTATTTTCTAAATTACATCTGCAGCACCACTCTGGCTGGTAAACAGCTCCCCATTTATTGTCATCAATTTGTGAGCACACCAGCCACTGTATCTTTGATGCGACTGAAGCAGCAGGACCTGTCTTCTCCGGGAAATGACTTTAGACTCTCTGTTCTGGCTTGGTATTTGTTTTTTCAACAAAGCTGATTGCACAAGATGCAACAAAAACATCTTTGATTCTATAGAGGAGTCCAATTCATGGACAGAAATTAGAGTAAAGCAGACTACTTGGGGCTTGATAAATTAAAAAAAAAGAAATTACTTTAAAGCCAGTTTGGTTCAGAATAAAAGCAGACATGAAAAAAGGCTGAATTATACTTAATTCTGTTAGGCAGTAAGAAAAAAATGGCTCTATTTAGCAGAAAGATGATTTAATAAACAAAAATATTTTTAAAAAGGTTTAATCCAAAATAGTGAAAATTATGTAAGTAGTCTATTGTGTTTGCTATTTTAGATTAAGATTACAACTTTAATTTCAATAAAAATTGACTTTAAATGATTTAATTTTGTACTTATATACTTCTCTCTTTCTGATGAAATATTTCTAACTTGTTACATTTTGTAGGGCTTCTGTTCAAACTTAATGGTAATTGGAGTTGGAGTGGAAGGAGAAGATTTAAATCCATTAAAGTTTCAATTCTGGGACTTTCTGAGCCTTGGGGACTTTTTAAAGCCTTGCCCAGAGAGTAGTTTGAGCAACAATTTCTTGCCTTTTGTTTTTGTTTTTGTCTTGGTTTTTTTCTTTTCCCTGCTGCAGAATTTCCAAGCAACCCTACGTGGGGGGGCTCCAGAAGAGGGTAACCAAAAGCCTTAGATCACAGTAAAGGATTTTTTGAGCAATGTTTTTAATTATTTTTTTTTTTTAAACAGCAACCACTTTTCTGATAATGACACAGTCTCTTTAATGACATCTTTGTTCTTTCTCACTGTGATCACCAGACTCAGGATGTATTGGCATTGTGGAAAGGCAGATCTGCATTTCCCAAGAACTGTCTGTGGCACGTTTTAATATAAAAATGTACATCTGTGTAATATATATTCTCTTGGGTTGCTATGTATTTAAGCTGAAAATTTCAGAGAAAACACGCTCTGTAAGTGTTTCTGTGGCTGTCAGATTGTGGATATTATCTGACCCTCCCAATTCTTGTTTACTCAAAAGGTATTATTGTACTCATGTTTAGCTGTAGTTCTGTGAGTTTGTTACTTTAAAAAAAAAAACAGGACTTTGAAGTTTCCAATTTAATAGAACTTTTTCTCTAAGATCGTAGCTTGGCCCATTGTGTACTGATCTTTTTCTTTATGAGTTTTGTGTCTTTGACCTTGATGCTCTCCCCAAGTCTGTTCATTAATTTAAACATATCCTAAAACAGGCCTACAAAAAGTAGACGTTGTGAGCAAGACCTCTATGTTTCTGTTTACAGAGTGGCTATAGGACATCGCTCAATTAAAGTAAATTCAATATGCTAAATTTAATACTTGTTCTTGCACAATCTTTTTACAAAGTTTTCCAAACTCTTTTTACTTATTATTACTTGTTATTAACAGCACAGGGTATGCAGAGCAGCACCTCTCCCTGACAACTTCAGAAGTTTGAAAACGCTTCAGGTGCGCTAACTTTCTGCTTTTTCTAGATCCTTCACAAACATTTGTAAGAGATGATCCCAGAACTGCCAGTGGGTCCAGATCTGCAATCCCTACTGGTGCGTGGTGCCTGAAGTGCTCTGAGCAGCAGCCTTGATGCCCAAGAGAAACACCAAAGCAGTAGGGGATGTAGCGTCCAGAGAAAGTGAATGTAGCCTGACCATGGCCACACTGATGCTAGGGATGTTTCTGTGTGCAAGCTAATCATATCTTTAGGTGTCACTTTGTTCTCCAGCCTCTTAGTTCAAATTCCTATAAAAAGGCCTCCTTCCAAAATACCTTTCCATTAGGACAGCTGTGACCTTACTCCTCTGATTACAGCTGTGAGTTTAGTGCTGTGTGTTGTACAAAGGCTTGGACCTGAAAGCTTAGGCTTCCCATGTTTCACTGTACCCTGCATTCATTGATATGTATATTTATATATATACAAAATTATTTTTTTTTTTTTTTTTTTTTTTTAGAGGCTGTGGGGTGGAAGGCTTTTTT